TTGTGTTGAGTGTCCACACAGGCAACACATCAAGAAGAAACCCTCTGCATTCCCCATTAAAAAACTTTTTTTTTTCATTTTCAAGTATTAATTTATGTATACATTGAAGATATGGGTAGGGCTGGCCTGCAATTGCAGAACTGTGTGTAAAGTGCGCTGATATCCATGTATGCCACCAGGAAGATTTACAAGGCAACTTTATGGAGTGGAAGTTCCCCAGGCACACATATTTTTCAGAACTGGCTGCTTTTGGCTTCCAGAAAGCAGTCACAGGGTGTAGTGCAACTGATAAGCAGTGGGGATTTTTCAGCAGGCAAACGGTGACATTGTTCTGTCACTGTTAACAGGGCTGCTCTAATGCTGGGCTCAGAAATACTGAAAGGGGGGTGGGAAATGGGAACCAGAGCATGCTTTTGCAACAGACCATTTAACTTCAGACTTCACTTAGCAGAAAAAGAGAAGGCCTTCAACAAACAGAGAAATAAAAAATTATATGCAGAGATCTGGGAGAGTCCTCACCCCGGGGAGAGGAACCCAATCATGAATGGACTCCCACCTAGGAGAGAGGATGTGTGACTGTGTTGAGGAAACGTGGTCATGAATACAAATATAGGAGTTGGATTACTTTGGCCAAAATTTATCTTTTAAATGTGGTTATATCTACCTAGATGGACTGCCTACTATGTGTATTTAATAGAGGAGCCATTGGTGTGACAGGACACCGGTTATGGTGTCTCAGAAATAACCTGCATCTGTCTGAGTTCCTCATACTCAGTGCTCAGGCCCACTGCTCACACAATTTTGCCACCACACAAGATCTGAAGGCAAGGTGAGAAAGCAGTTGCAATTTTTTCTGCCCACAGGCAGTTGGTTTGAATGAAATGGTAACTACTCTTTCCATTTCATTCTTACTTGATAACAGCCCCCATCTGAGATTAGATCTAGAGTCTTTTGGTTAAGGTTAGTATGTATTTAAAAAGAAACTTGAAATGATAAATTATAATGTTGTACAACTGCTAAACTGACAAAGCAGAGTTTTCCTATCTGAGCAAATGAAATAATTTTAGTATTTTTGGAGTGTCTGTCATCCTACTACATGACCTTTTTCTGCCATCTTCCTTAGAGAAGCTTATGGCTTTTTTCCACTCTTCAGCATTATAAGCCATAAAGTAAAAAAGGGAACAAGACCTATTACTTGCTTTCGTGATTTATTTCCACAGCAGTATCAGAAGTCCTGACCATGGACCACAATTGTGAAAGGCCAGGCAACACACAAGTTCGACTTTTCTTGTTTGTGGAGCTGGGCATTCACATTTATGACAAGACAAGCACATCAGCAGGAACATACAGCATTTCAGAGCAGAGTTACCTGACAGGTCCAGTTCCTTATTATGATTTTGAACCCCTAAATTATTTAGTTATACCTCAAATCTTGGACTGGTTTAAGTTTATTAATAACATTTAGATGCTGCACTTGCTCCCCATCTGCCTTACCCTTTTCATACTCCACCTCTGTGGAGTTGAATACTTCCTGAGACAGAGTTATGAACTAACTTTGATAAGAGCAGCTTGGGCTGTATAAGATGCTGCCAAGCCTTGCCAACAGGCTCTGCTCTGGAAAAAGCACAAGGAATTAACTGTCATCACATTGTATCAGCCAACAATATCCACCAGCACCCACACCAGACCAGCGCAATTCAGCCAAAGCCCTGTTACTAAAATCTAGCAGTTCATTAAAATCCTTTATCCCATCTCAGGATTTCACAGAATCACAGAATCAAGTACATTGGAAAAGACCTCTGAGCTCATCTAGTCCAACCTTTGACCCAACACCACTTTGTCTACTAGATCATAGCACTAGATCTTCTTAAACACCTCCAGAGACAGTGACTCCACTACATTATGTAGAAAACAAGAAGCATTTACACATGATCACCTCTACTTTCTCTTGGTTATAGAACTTAGTTAATGCTCTTTTGATCTGCAACTTGTTTGTCAGTTGTATTTGCAGTTGCCTGTTTACAAAGTACTGACAGAAGATCACTTACTAAAAGCAATGACAATAAAATGTCCTTCCCAGCCGCCCTCGTTGTAACTGCCCAGGAGAGGCAGGAGTGAGTGAGTGTCTGAGTGAGTGTCTCCGTGGTGCTCCATTACCAGCAGTGGTTAAACCACAAGGACGTCTCTGCTGTTCTGCAGCACCGTTATCAGGCACAGGAACATCAGTCACAGTGCCACACACAAACAGGGCTGTTTTGCCAATACATTGGTTGGGGCAGCCCATTGTCCTGCCTGCTACTGCGGATCCTTGGTGTAATGGGGCCAGGAATACCTGTTCCGTACTCTTCTTCCACAGATACTATGAGAGGAAGGAACCCCAACCCAGGGCTTGGAACAAAAAGTGTGGTTCAAGTCAGACTGTACCCAGTTGCTAAGACTAACTGCCTAAGTGCTAGCTAGATTACCCAAGCTGCAACTCCTTGGCTGTTTTTGCAATGGATTAGGAAGAGAGAGAGTTCAGGGCTGTAGGCTCAAGTTGACTATACTGGCTTTCCAAACCAGGGTTGTGAGTGTGACAGAGAGGGAGCCTCCTTTTGTAGAAATATGACTAAGCCAAGTACATTGATGAGACAATAAAAGCACAGAACACATACAAGGATTTAGAATCAATTGTGCCAGTCCTGCTCCTAAACTAGTGTGTTTTAGTCTCTGCTTAACACAGGACTTTGAACCTCAGATTAAACCAGAATGGAACCATCATTTTGCATCAGCCTGTTCAAAAGGGAATAACCAACAAAACTGGCTAAAAGCAAAAGCCCAGGACTCTCTTCAAGTTCTATTATTAGACAGATGTGCTCATTATATACTCATCAGTTAAACAGACAGTTAAAACTGAGCTCATACTGGATGCTAGAATATGACACTGAGGTTAATTACAGAACTCTCTTTTGCTTTAAAGATAACAAAGCAACCATGAAGAAGAAAAGAACAGAAGGGTTTATTGCTTCCCAAGTGGTACAGAAGCAGAGAAGATAATATATTTGATGCATAGGTGTCAAAAGTGGGAGCACTAAAAATACTCTGCTGGCTCATAGCCACCGTCAGCCACAGATAAAAATAGGTCATGATAAATTGGGTGTAGTCTTCGACTGCCAGATGTAGGAAATGACCATGTTAACACACAAACTGTGAACAGCTGTGAAAAAGGCAGTATTCTTTGCTGTTAGGAACCACATGTAATCAACAATGCAATGAAAATATGACTTGGAGACTATTAATCTGTGGTTTAGTGCAATTTCTTAATTTAGTGGTTTCCTTTAACAATTTCTTGAACACTGTACATCTCATTGTGATTAAATAGAGAAATAAACAGCAATATACAGAAAGACCAAAATTCACTATACCCGCTTACAGCTCTGGTGCATAACTGAGAGCTTCCTTGAACAGAGACCTGGACTGAAGGTCACCATCCTTTTACTGGTTATGACTTTCCTGTGTAAGGGACAAAGTTACAGGGTTTGTGGAAATCCAGAGTCCCGTTTGTGAGCCTCAAAGGAATATAGTTCATGATGGTGTCTCATCTGTAATAGTGAGTTTCAGGACAAAAACCAGCAAGATTTTAAAGCAACTGAACTTCAAAAGAAAGAAAAGAATAACCTCTTGCTTTATTCAATTTATACATAAATACCATGAGATGTACTGTAGCAAACAGTTTCTCTCAGATATATTCACAGTGCAGTGATTACAGTCTAGTTATGACAGCAGGATATTTACTGCAGAAGGGGATTCAGGGCAGATTACAGAACAAGCCAGGAAAGAGGATCCACACCACAGAGTGAGCAATAGCCAAGCTACAGTAATTTGAGAGGTAGCTTTGTGAACTGCAGCCACTCTAGCATAGGGAGAGCCAGACCATGAGCCATGCTGTATGGCCACAAAGATTTTATTGCCAAATATTTAGTAGCAAGTCAGCCCCACATTGAGACTACACAAACTGTTTTTTAAGGGTTATGGTAAAGCTAGTTTGTGTCTACTGCACTGCCCAAGCTGTAAAAATCCCTTAAGCAGTGAAGTAATTTCTCCCTGAACTGCTGGCAAGACACTCTAACCTCCAGCTAAGCTCTGAAAAAACATTAACAGAAGAAGACACAACCCTGGTACATAAACACATTCACATTTCAGATGTCCACTCTTGGTATTCAGCAGCCCTTGGACAACTGCCATTAGATTTGCTGTCAATACTCTTCACCTCTGTTCAGACCTGCAAGCCAGGTTCTCCTTAACTTTTCCAACTTTGATCTTTCTCTGGTGATTTTTAAAAAAGTTTTAGAGCTGGCAAAAGTGGAACAAGTGGAACACCCCCATCTCCTTCAAGCAGCCCTCCTCCATCAGTTAGACAATAATTATACATAATAATAATATATCTATACCTTCATTTAAACCTAGTATTTCATTGTGCGTAGGAGACTTCTTTCTCTGGAAGACTTTTCCAAGTGAGTGAATGAATTAACACTAACAGTCTTTTTCCACAGGAATATAATCCCTCTTGGCATACCACTCTGGCTGTGATGTGGTCAGCAGTGATGACAGTTTCAGAGACCAGACTCTATCCTATGTCTAGCAGTGTCTGTTTGGTCAAATGATTACCATCATATATATTTTTTCTCTACCTTCTGCTGCTCATACACGAGCTTCCTGAAGAAATGCTTTTGTTGGAGAATGTTGTTCAGTCCAGAAGATTTTTCAAAATATGGTAACGCACATGTCATTATTTTTGGACACCAGAGGAAGAGTTGAAGACAGTCTTCTAAATGACATACCCTCCAAATTCATAGACTCCTTAGAATGTTTTGTTAGTGACAAAACATTCAAAAACTGCTTGGAAACAACCTTTTTTCTTCTACATTGTCCCACTGACAAGCTTCTGACAGGAAACTCATATAATCCATCTTGCAGCAGCAAATTATCATATTTTTCAGTTTCACAGTTATTTAGCCATATTTTGTTTATGATTTAGTTCTGAATGTCAAAGTAGATGGCAGATCCTTGTCTCATTCTAGAGTTTTCAGCTGCCCTAGTTTGTGGGATTTGCTCACATGCTGCATTGGATACAATAGTCGCAGTGGATTTGTCATCTTCTCCTCCTGATTCATTGCAAAAAAATTCAAGTGATTCATACAGCGTAGACACAGCCTTAAAAAGCACAGAAAACTCCAGTCAAAACTTTTACCCATAAAGTACATGTAAAATGAACTTTTATCCAAGATACAGCAAGGAACAGAAAGAAACACAGGCCATGGAGCTATAATTTCAGATGGAAAGCGTGTCTCAGTACTAACAGTGAAAGGCAAAGCCTTCCTATATGTTTGGATTCAATTCTCTTAGTTAATTAGGTACCAGGCACAAAATACTTATTTAGAATACCAAAGATGTCAAGTTCCAGTGTAGATGAGATTCTAAGAAATCTGAAATGGAAAGCTTTTTAATCCCCTTAATCTTTTAACTCTGCTATTTCCCAAAAGCTTTATCCTACTCTTCCCTCTGGACGGATGCTCTCTTCAGGCAGTAAACCAGCACACTGCTGGGGAATTCAGATGCTATTCTGGACTGTGCAGATATCACCCTGTTTTCATTTCCTAAACACATGTAGGTAAGTCCTTCAGCAAAACCTGAGAACTAAAGATCTGCCTGAAATGTGCACAAAGATCTGTGCTCACAGACACAGGAAATCAAATTCTCAAGATGACATGGCATAAACCAATAAAAAGGTGGGAGTCATGAAGGGGTAGCTTCTTCTCTTCATGTTTTGATGAACCATGTTCAGCACAGAGAGGTACCTGCCAGCTGAATGCCAAACAGGAGGCATGGTAGGGACAGCCAACTAATCTGGACTGTGATTCTATGCATTTTGCACAGCCAGAGCCACTCTCAACAATGAGCTTTATATGTGCTTCCGTGAGCTGGAAGTTTGCATTAATGCCACAACAGTGCTTAGATTTGGGCTGGAACCTGCAGAACTTGAAAAAGTCATCAACTGCTACAGGAATTCCCTCAAGGGCCAAATTCCCCTGCAGCTGGCAGAACTGTCTGGGAAACACTCCCTAAACATCTCAGATGAGGAAATATGGGATGATTCTCGAGAGGCAGAGACAAATGCTGTATAGGGAAAGCACAGCTACAGGAGCCAGCTTTGCCATGAAGATGTTCCCTCTCAGGTTAGCTTAGGTACTTAGAGCTATGTATTGTCACCTGACCGAATTGCTCAGTGTTGTTGTGACACACAATGCAGGTGAGAATAAAATCCATGCCTTGGTTCAATTGATGTGATACAAGATTGCCTTCACAACCCCAGGAATTGGAAAAAAAGCATGAGACTGTAAATAGCCTTGCAGGGGCGGACAGAACCCTCATGTTTGCTGTTCTAGAAATGATGCCCAAACCTACCCAGGACGTTCGGCAAATTTCCAAACTTTAAAAGGAAACAAAAGGGTAAGCAATGTAAAAATTAGTGCAAACTTTTTAGAGACTTTCTTTTTCACAATCAGAAAAAAAGTTAAAATTAAGCTGACCATATTCTGCAAAAAATTGAAGGCAATGAGTGCATTTCCAGAGACACCATAATATTTGCTAACCACTGCTGGGTTAATTTATTTGAAATACAGTGTCCATACACTTTTTATGCACTGGCTTTACTAACGTACTGGATCTCTTGCACAATTTATAAGATCCAATTGTGCTTTAACATTTAAAATTATACCACTATGAAACCACTCTTTCTGCTTTCACCAAAATAGCAAAAAGGTCTGTTACATGAAAGAAGACACTGAATCCATATCATGACATGTTGCCGTGGCTGGTAGCTGCTAAACTGCAAAGCAACTACAAAAGATAGTTTATAATTGCCTTCACACAGCCTCTGGAAGAATCTTGCCCATACAAACCCTGAGCAATTAATGGCTACTAATGAACTTTTCATTCTACACTCCCTAGGATGCTTGCTCTCTTATTCTCAACCTTATTTTCTTATATTTTCATTAAATATTAACAAGTAATTAAAATATTTTATTACTATGACCAGACCATCTCATGCCTCATATTCCTAAAATTTTCTACTATGATGTTTCCAGTAAAAGCAAGTCTCTTGGCTTCAGTGGGAATCTAGTTATTATAGAGCATGAATTTTCCCAAGTATACATTTTCTTTTTTTAGAATGATTACTATTGCTCAGTAAAAGACAGATATTACTATTTCACTACCTGTGTCCTGATACTCTCTCTCGCCATGACTTCGGTACCAATGTGACCAAATCAAGGCTGCAGACAGGTTCTCAAACAGGAGAATTCAGGAATCTGTAAGCTCAGTAACTGCAGTTGTGACCACAGGCTTGAGCATTTTACATCACTTCTGTGTGGCTTGCCCAAGCCTGTCCAGCTGACTGCAATGGAAGCTGCATTTGCCTATGCAAGGGTTAAATCAGGGCTTCTTTCCCTTGCTTACTTTATGTTTTAATGTAATTGAAAAATGAATAATTGACTGGAGAAAGGAGCTTGGCAGAAATCTGCTACCTGCTCTCAGCAAGCACTCCCTGCTCAAATGGCCCTACGAGCTGAAGCTGGTCCAAGGCCCCTTGAGCTTCATATACAATTATACATAAAGGGACTTTATTGCCATTTTTTACTTCTACACGTCTTTCTTTCACTCAGTCTCTATATTGATATTCTCTGCTTTTTGGTGCTCTCTTCTCCAAGAAATTTTTGGATGTCATTAAATATAACAACAGAATTCAGTACTTTGCTAACTACATGATTTTCTCTTTTCTTATTTCTGAGAGTTGTCTCTTGCAAGAAAACCTTTTTTTTTTCTTTAAACCTTTTCAGTGTGTAGGAAGATGCTGTTCTAGGAACAGCAGGTTGTCGTGTGCTTTCTGTTCAGTGCCTCACCTTGAAAGTCCTCTCATAGCGAGAGTCTTTTTATAAACCACTTACCCATTCAGCAGAATTACATGATGAGTTTTCCTCAGCTGCTTCTCTGGTAGATTCATTTCTCCCATGAAGCTCTGCAACCTCAAGCATCTGTTCCTCCTCACGCCTTTCTGTCAGCACAAGAGGTTGTGCAGCACCTTAGCAAACCAAGTTATAGTCAGTGCTTGCTTACTGTCCCTTTCCAGAGTGACACCAGAACTCTACCAGAGTTCTACAAAGCACTGAAATGAAGAGTGCAGAGATCTTGCATAGCCAGTCTTGATGACAGGAGCTGAAGTGGTATTCAGGCTGCAAATTAAATAAGCTACATGTAGGTAGCTTACTACTCTCTTCAATAGGAGAGTAGTGCAACACTGGAACGTGCACCCAGGTGGAAGGCCTGTCCTTGGAGGGTTTCAAGATTCAGCTAAACTTGGCATCAGCTGGTCTGATTTACTGTTGTTGTAGTCCTGCTTTAATCAAGGTATTGTACTAGACGACCTCCTGAGATCCCTTCTGGTTCCCTTATATATTTGATTCTGTTATTTACTATTTTCCCTCCCCTACGATATATTAGAAGGGTCAAATTAAAGCTCAGAAAAAAATTCTCTCAGAATATGAAGCCATGTAAAAATGACCTTAGTATACTCCTTCAAAATAGGCAAGGATCTTTTAAAATGTAATTTGAAAATAGCAGGACACAGGTCTGTGTAGTTGATCACCAAGTTAATGTGACTTGTAAAGCCTTTATTGCCTAAGACAATACATAGCAGACAATGGATTTCACTTGATTACTTTATCCTGCATCCTTTACAGCAATGACAATGAGCAACCTAAATTCATTCTTTCTTTCCTTCCTTCCCTCCCTCCCTCCTGAACATCCCTTATGTGATGGAGAGCTGCTCAGCAGAGTTTGTGCCACGAAACAAGAGGGCTGATCAGCTCACCCTTAAGCAGACACCTACACGGGGTCAATTTACCCAGCTGCCTGTGCCAACTCCAGTGGCTGTAATAGGAGTTCAGGGACTTCACTTGTCTAAATCCCCTCCCTCTGCTTTTTTAATCTGCAGGTTGAATTGCATCTCAAGTCATAGATATTCCACCTGTATCCCTGACAGCTCACATGCTGAGTAAACCTCACACTGCAACCATAATACTCACGATACAGTTACTCAGGTAAGGTTACTTAAGGCTGCCTTAAGTTATGTCACTGATCTGTGCCCTCTGTCCGCAGATGCCCTACATTTATACTTGTCCTGTACCCTTGTCATTCACTATATTTTCTTGTGACTTCTTCCACCCTTAATGTCAGGATTTTGCAACCTCCACTTTCCTCCAATTAATAATTTAAAAAAAAAATCACAGTTTAAAAAAACATAACTTAGAACAAAGTCTCCAAGGCTGAGTCTTTCAGATGTCATTTCCAGTTGTCACCACCAAGAGGTAAGACTAGGATGCAGAGCTAAGTTCTGGCTTCTCACTTTTTCAGTCAGAAATCAGTCAGAAATTTTTAGAATTGATATCCTCCAATATCGGCCAGGTCAAGATCTTCAGTCTAAGTGATCACTCTCTCCTTAGAAAGATAAATAAGGGAGGCAAGTGGCTGGAAGAACACTCACTTGAACTACAGGCTGTGCCTCTGATCCCTCCCCTCAGCTCAAGGCACCCCAGCAGACCAGGACCAGGTGAGCAGAAATTATACACTGAAATTCCTCTTAGAAATACCTTTTGAGTGCATCTCTCCAGCCGTCTCAAAACAAACATCTAACTTAGAGAATATGTGTTAATGGAAATATTATCACTCACCAGAGAGTGTGGAGAACTGTTTCTTTTTGTAGCAAAGATACAAACCTCCCACTGCCACTAAGAAAGGAACGATGGCCCATATTACCAAATCTGGTTTTTTCGGTGAGTCAGCTTCTGCAAGTATATATTTTAAATAAAGTTATGTACTGTTCAAAGGTAAAATAAAAGAACATCATCATAGCAAAAAACCCACAAAACAATTAAAATTAAAAATTACTTCAGGAGTCAATCGTACATCTCCCCACCCAAATGCAAGGTCAGTTCATCATTCCTGGGGGATGCATGCCTCGTGAACAGTAATGTCAGGCCCTCCTATAGCTCCTGCAGATTGACAGTTTTTCCTCCCAAGTGTTTAACATGAGTCTTTTCTGCTTGTACTTGACTAAGTAAGAGATAAGATCTCTTACCTCATTTTAAGAGATTGGATTATTTTAGCTCTATAACAGCCTTTTACATTAATTTCCCGCCATTTTGAACACTACTTCGTTGATTCTCTATCATTGATGTTTTCTAAATCTTTGATAATTTTTGTGCCTCCCTCCCTTTGGACTACCAGTTACTCACAGTATAAAATACTGTCCAAAACTGAACTGTGCTGGATGATTGGAAAGGCTACTTCCTGTGACTTGACCATACAAGTGATGCTTGACAATGTCAAAGGCCTAGCTGTACCTAGTCCCCTAATCTTTACTGTTCAGAGATACAAAGAGAGGTAGAGATCAGCATCTTCCAAAAGTAATGCATGGTGTCTTGAGACAGTTGTGCAACAGAAGTGAGATAAATTGTTTTCTGGGTATGTCACACTCTTTTAATAATTTAAGGTGAAATGGATCTCACTCCTGTTGCTGAAGATTTTAATTGTGGGTGAATACTAATTGTATCAATGCTTTACTAGCTTAATTTGGAATTCAGACTTCACATTGCTCCCCTGTAAACGTTAGCATATGACTGGTGTAAAACACGGAGACACAGCCTATAGAAACAAGTTTGTGATAACAACTTTATGGACACAAATCCTTACAGAGCCCATAGTGCTCTATGTTCCGTATTGATATATTTATCACTTTTTATTAAGAATAATAAAATAATAAAAAAATAAAATGGTTAGTAAAGGGTACAGATAACTGAACAGAGTAACCACGTGATTGTTTCAGCCCCTTGTTACCACATGGCAGATTCAGTCAGTGTCTCACATCTATCCTAAAAAAACCTTCCTAGGAGGAATGGTGTTTGGGTCTTGTGTGAAACATACAGGTGCTGCACAGCTTTGTTGTAAACCTTAAGTAATAATTCCTATTAGCAAACCCTTAGAGAAGAAAACGAACACTACACAGGGGATATTAAGGCAGAGAGTTTAAGTCAATTGTCATTAAGAGTTGTTCAGGCCCTCTTTGTGTTTGTCTCATTCATCCTGAGGTCTGCAGTGTTCAGGGAGGGATGTGGGAGAAGCAGGAAATGCATAACACAGTTCAAACTAAAGAACCTTTATGATAAGTAAAATGGCACACATATCTTCGTGCTAGCTTACCTTTCTCTTCAACAATCACTGTTGTCCCATTTCCACATAGTTTCTTATAGAAAGGTATTTCAATAATCATCTCACAGTAGTAAAATCCAGTGTCATTTACTTTGGCAGACTTTATGACTAGCACATCCTTGTTTTCACAGGTGATGTTGGACACATAGACAACTTTTGATGATACACTTTCAGTGATGTTTGCTTTACTAACAAGATACCAACTTACTCTATATCTCATAATAATATCTTTTTCCCAAAAACAGGTGATTTCAGTGTAGTCTCCAGTTGATATATTTATTTTTGTTGGTGTTTGGATGACTCTTAAATTACTGGGACCTGTAGCTAGTGGAGAAATACATATAGATATAAAGGTTAAAGCAGCAAATAGATGTCATTACAACTGTATTTAAAATAATTTTAATGCTGTAAAATCAATATGACATTAGTTTTTAAGATTAGTTACTATCCATTTCTCCCTTCAATGATGGCACTTACTTTCTGGTTGAAGTAAACTTTTAATCTGGTGTGTTAAAGTCCTCCATCATTGTTTGTGTGCAATAAATGAAGATTTTATGTGTACTTGATAATTAACATATTTTTTACTTTCAACAAAAAGTTTTATAAAAAGAGATTGAGTCTGAAGGATATTAAACCCTATCTGCCAGATAAAGAATGATCAAAAGGAGTCACTCAAAATGATTAATTAGTTAATAGCAAAAAACTCATCGAGATTAAAGAAAAATCCACTACAATTTTTGTCACCATGTAGGAGTTCCTATCCTGCACTGCTTCTAATTAGTGACAAGTGTACGGCATTTTACAGGTGGGTTCTTTTATTTAGTTTTAACTTCTTCCATTAAGTTTTTGCTGAAAAGTAGTTTATAGCATCAGATTCACCTCCTTCATTTATCAAGTATACAATATGCTATGCAGATTCCAGTTGTTCTCATCAAGTGTGTTGTCTAGTTTTTAGCTAAGGTTGACTTGGACAGTACCACAAGAAATCAAACTTTTTACTCTTTACTGCTTTGAATCTCTCACTCACTGTCCACATGCAAAGTGAGTGATACATGAGATACTGTGCAATACTGCGTAAAATATTTTCTTCCAGTGAAACCACTGCAGGGATATCAGATAGCTTTATTTACATTCTAATGGCATTGATGCTCATCACAAAAGTGCTAATCCTATCAAATCTATCCCCATGACTGCTGAGATCATTAGTTTCATACGCTGCATGAAGAATTATAATTTCCTTTTTTCTAACATTTATACTATTAAAGTGAAGAATTACTCATAATGAGAGTAAACAGCATGATTTTCTTCCAAATTTTATCCTGTTTGTGACTCAGGCACATTTCATGCCAACATATAACTAATGACATGATTCTTCTCATATCTCATCCTAAAATGGCATTTGATAAATTTTATCAGAAATATGCAGAGAAACTTTTCCTTTGTCCATAAAAAAAGCCACACATTCATCATATTTAAAGGAGTTAGGCACCTCTATCTTCTCCACAACACAATGCTCAACTACTTGCAGAGAACAGTATAGACAGTGTAGGAGTAATATGAACAGCAGAAAAAATAAGGGAAAGAACTGATTAAGTGCAAATGACAACTTGGAAGCTGTTCAAGTGTTAAAGAAATGATCAGTAATTTCAGTTTTCCTGTTCATTTGGATTGTCATTTAAAATACAATTGTGCTATCCACATTTCCATATTGTGACTTTACTGTTTTTTTCTGAAAAATCTCACTGAAAAAATCCTTCTGCCCTTGCTTAATGTCTTAATCTCTCCCTTTCTTCCATTAGATTTTTTAATTTATACTGAACACCTTCAGTGTTATACAGTGCAATCTGTACTGAATAAGAATCATGAAACCTTCCCTGCTTTGTGTTTCAGTACCTATCTAAAACAAAACATCATTAACATCTTAAAATTCTACATTCAGTGTTTGTAATGAAAAATATTCAAGTCAGAAGGCCTAAGAAATACGGTGCTTGCATTAAATTAACATAATTTTGGGTGTTGAAGTCATCAATGTGTTCCTCTGCACTTTTTTTATAACAATATCTTTGTGAAAATGCTTTTTGACTCCCCATGCCTTTTAATCATGCTTTCAGCATTATGAAAATATAGTTAACATTCTTCTTGTCTCACACACAAGTGTATTTGATGTGAATAGACCATAAGATTTTTAAATCCAGCTCAAGAATTACTGGTGACTAACTATAAACAAAACAAAGAAAATAAGCAGTGCTTACCTAAGCAGCCAAAACACATTGTTAAAAGAAGTTTCAGTGAAATTATGATCATCACGCAGGATTATTAGCGCTTGCATCAGGGCGTCTTGTTTAAAGATCAGCAAAACATCAAATGAAATCGTCAAAATCGTAGCTTAACTTCCTCTTCCCTTGTGGTGAGGATGGTACAAGCTAAATGCAACTCATATTTTCCCTACACTCTGTGAAACTGTTGTCACAGCTATGTCAGTTTTATAGCTCAGCCATCCTGTGCGAAACCAAGACATTTCTTCTTTAAATTTTAAACTGTGTCCTAACTGATTGCCTTTCAACACTAGATTAGCCTTTCTTCTGGTATGACATAAAGAACTGCTTTTCCATACTTAGAGTGGTTTCATGGGAGCATCTGCCATCGTCCTTCTGAAACCCTTCATTTAAATGCACTTTATGAAGATGAAATTTCTTTAGCTACCACACAGCCTCTTCCAGCCAACCCGATGAATCTTATCCAAAGCTGGAGACAATGACCGTACTTGGGTTACGTTGAAGCCAAGCATGGCTCCTATCTTTCCTTATCACACATTTCATTCTCATCTTGCTGAGATCTTGCCTAAATTCTTCCCTACTGTGAAAAGTACTTTAGTACTTTTGCCTTAATAGCAGCAGGAGCAATTGAGGAAGGCTGAGTTCCAAAATCACCACTCGCAGCGGCCCCAACGTCCCGCGACATCAGTGGGAAACAATCCAGGACCCTACACTGTGTATGCAAATGATCTCATAATTACCTCTACAGCTGCAGCTGCATTAATGCAATACCAGTGCCATGTACATTAACTAAGGCTTATTTCAGGAGGATTTTAAGCATGAGTTAAAATAAAATGAGCTACAGTTACATTGTCAAGTTAAGGGTCATGTAGAAATTTATTTACCTTAAATTATTAAAAAATTTTCTACAAATGTAGATAACTCTATGCTGCTTAATATTCTCCAGCACTGAGTTTGGGCTCCAATTCAGAATCACTTAGCTTCCCTGGCCAGAGACATTAACTGGAAGACAAAACATTGCTTTCATTTTCTCACCTTATTTATTCCCTGGATAGATGTTTCAAATGCAAAGTTACCAGGCTAGACAAAATTGTCCCACAAACATGATCAGTTGGGTAACATCAAAATTGCAATGACAGAACTTAAAAAAATAATAAAAATTTGTCTAGAAACTAGCTGAAGCTTTTCCCATAGTGCTGATAGCAGCTTATATTTACTCTGAGTGATGCTTTAGTTCTAATCCAAAGCATCTACTGTCAGAGATGAAATGAACTGGCACAGAGCAAAAGGGGTTGGCTAAGAGGTTTATTTTTAGCCCTAGTTACTTCATTGTACTGTTTTACAACACAACCTCACACACTCTCATCACAGCACTACTGAGTGGGTGGAAAAATGTGGTGACAGAATTTAAGTGACCTTTGCTGCCAGAGTAAGTGCAGCACACAAAATGACCACGTGGGTCAGGGAAGCACCAACAACAGAAAAATCCTACTAGTTTTTCTTTTCTTTCTGCAACTTAATCATAGTTAACCTTGGAAACTGCACTGATGAATTTGGATTCTGTAAATGTGTATAGTTATTCACCTGCGTGCTAGAGGTGATTGCAGAGCAGCTGCTCAGTGCAGTTATAGCCAGTCTCTTCTGGATGCTTTCCACAAATCTGTCTTCCCAAAACTTTTCTGTCACATTCAAAGAGTATCAGTTGAGGCCTACTGAAAAATACATTTGAAAAAACAAAGAGGATCTAAACCCTCTTCCTTCTCCTTACCCTTATGTCAGACTTGCTTGAGAGCTTGCAACACAGCATTTTTGAGGTGTTGGTGACAGCACTGAGAAGAGTGTGTATGAAATCGAAATTAGCACCAAGGTTTATGTACCATAGCACAAATATGCTGACTTTGTCCTCTGGTTATAACATTACATCAACACTCTTTTCTCTTGTATATCCTGTGTGATGTAAGGTTTGAAGTAGTATTTAAGTAGAGTGGCTTGATTTCTCTCAAGTCTTCATGTAACACCACAATATTTCTCCTCACCATCTTCCCATATGTGAGGGAAGAAAAAGGATGATTAGCAAATGGGTCCCTCTACAGAGATTTGAGTGCCTGCAGGCTTCCTTTTGCTTGGGCTGAGATTTCTGAGGAAAAATAACATACAAAATATGCAACAACATCTTCTAGCAGGAATGCCATGCTTTTTACAGACCGGAGTCTTGGATGTCTCCGGTGTGATATAAGATTTGACTCTGGCAAATTATCCCCTGATGACCAATTGTAACTCCAGATAAAATATTCTTTTTTATTTTTTTCTTTTAAATCAGAGTCTCCACAAATCAAAGTAGAAACCCTCCAAACAGATAAATCAGGCAGTATCGAGGTATTCCTGTTTATATTATCCCGTATTAGAAGGTTTTTGTAGGATTTGTTCTAACACATCCTACTAGAAACTTATCAACCTGCCATCTGGCAAAGCAGGACCCAGAGTTAGCAGCTGTGGGATCCTTTGCTGCTTGGCCAGGACTGACCATGCAATTGGTCACTGAAGATACAATTCAATTTTTATAATCTACCCACATGACTTGCTGTTACCATCACATATATTAGTGATTCAGTCACAAAAGCAAGAATTGTAATCATACCCCTGTATAACCTACACATTATAACCATTATTGTACATGGCAGAAACAAGCAGGGAATGAGAGAAGAGGTACAAGTAAAGAAAAAGACTCAGTTGAAGACATTTCATTTCCCAAATACATACACAAAATAAAATGAAAAATATCTGCCATCATCCTTTACTGCATCCTGCTTACAGGGCTATGTGCTTCCCCTTTGGGCTTAATGTTGCAGGAAAATGGCTTTCACTGCAGCAGAGCAGGTTAGATTGGCACATCACCAAGTATTTATAGCCAAGTATGAAAAACAACCAATAGAAATATGAAACAACTTTTCTTCATCCAGTAACTGAATGTGGCAGTTTCTGCAGTGATTTTAATGAGATGCAACTAATGAGTATACACAGGCTGTCTTCATGAAAAACTGACCACCAGCACAGTTCTTCAGCATAACTGTTTCCCAATAGCAATTCTGGAAGAGCCCTTTTCACTCTTTTTCTTTCTTCTTGAACAGTCTCTCCATGTGAAGGAAATTATTGCTGAACAGCTGAAGTAAATTAGAACAATTGCCACAGCAAAATGTCATTTTAATGTGATTCTAGATCTGGGATTATTAACTGGCTGAAAAGGCACCTATTTTCCTCTCTATTTCCTCTTCAGTTTTATGTTTCACTCATCAGAAACACAGTTTTGTACAGTGTTGCACCAAGCATAATTCATCACTATCACTTCAGTGAAGTGACTGACTTGATTCTCATCTCAGCTATGGGTATTTTCATGGTGCATAAGTAAAATAAGTAGAGATGCCCAACAGCATGTGAAAAGCATAAGATTCTAGAGCTCCACATTGTTTAGAGCTAAGAAGAAAAATAGAGAAATACAGTTTTTATTTTGGACATAAATGTATACCAGCTATTAGGAAATCGAGTTGCTCTCCAAGTTTCCTTTTGCTGCTGCTCAATCAGACCTGCTTAGAATTTGCACTTACTGTCAGTTTAACCTCTCCACACAGCACTCCATAATTAACCTCCATTTGTTGTTAATGAAACATTTCCTGCTACCACCGTGCACATTCTCTGGGCTGAGAAGGAAGAAAGTTCACAGTATCCTAAGAATAACACTCCTCCTTCAGGTTACATGATGAGTAAGTTACTGGCCATAGGGCAAGAGACCTTCTGTCAACAAACCAGCTTCAGTTTACCCAGAACACAAGAGTGAACATCCAGGACCAGGATTCTGTCAGGCAAAGTCCATCAATTCTGACCCTTAAGAGACACAATTTAAATGAGCTTAAGGCAAAGGAATACAAACAGTACATTCCATTTCAGTTTACAGCAGAGCAAAAACTTTGCAGTTGTTGCCCGAAAGACAAAGGAGCTGAAACACAACAGGCATTTCCTTGCATGTAGGAACAGAACACCATTTGGCAAATCACTATTCTGTGATGTGGAAGTCATCTCCTCTAACGATTAAAATCTTAAGAGAAGACTCTTGATGTCACCACTAATCATAAAAGCAATTCAAAATTGTAGGACTAATATGACTTTGTTAGTGCTCCACAGTGAAGCATTACAGAGTCAATCACTTTAAAACCATCCACAGCAAGCACAAAAATGTCCAGTATGCTCATTCTGCAACACCAAGGTCATTTTTGCATTGAAAAAGTTTCGGGGGAAAAAAAAGATTTGTAAATAATTAACCAACAAAAATACTCACAACTCAGGCCAACAGTTTAATTAAATTTAGAATTTATTCAAAAATTATGTTTTCTTTCATTAACAGCAGAATGTTTTTCAAGATCATCACTCATATCTTGAAATAAAAATCGGAAGCTATTACATATTCATTCCTGAAATACATTCCCAAACTTTACTGACTCTGAAAGTATACAAAGAAAGTCCTTATTTCCTTTGGGTGAACAGTTACTGTAAAGTTTTCTGAGGTCTTTTTGCTGTTGAAGAATCCTGTAAAACACAAAACCGCTGGTAATTATTAAAGCAGCTTTACTCAAATGGACACATTATTCTATCACAACAGTTTTAACCCATCCCTTCCCTAAAAGCTAGTGCTTCAGCATATTCTCCCCCTTAAAACTACAAGTAATATGGAGCCTAAGATGCACCCATTCATAATATTCAAACATATAAAAATTTATCTTCCTTTCACATGTTGACTTACACAGAAAATGTGAAAAGTCATGCACCTTTTCTTCATCATGAATAAACAAGGAAGTTCCTAGCTGCAAGTCAAGTAGAGCTCTAAACTCTCACCCAGACTGTCCCAAAAGCTCTGCAAGCTTTTTACAAGGCACATATATGGATGTAAGTGACAGTAAGGACAATGTCCAAGCAACTAACTGGAATGAGAAATGAAATGAGGTCACCCACAGCATTTGACTTGAGTGTCAGCCCTAACTTGAATCATATCCACAGAGTCCTTTAAGCTGATTACAATGGAGATTTTTAACTGCAGCTGTCTGTTTTTCTGCAGCACAGGCTTAAGCTTAGACAAACACTCATCAGTATCTAAAAAAATCAATCTGTGCCAAAAGTGTGAATTCATAAAGTAGCCACTTCTATCTGGACAAAGACCACTCCAGGAAGGTTTAATGATTTTTAACACTTGTAAGCAAAACAAGCCATCAGAGAAATACAACAGTCTGGTACTTGCAGAGAATCTTAGCTAAATTTCACTACCTGCAGGTTGTGACAGGTACCAGATCTGTCATACAAAACAATAATACATTTCTAATCTTGCAAATTTTTTGATATTTTTAATTAGACTATTCATCAAGCTTCAACAGTCAACAACAATATGGGCACCAACCATCTTATTCCACCTACCTTTGCCTGGATATTGTGCCGTCTTCCATTTCCACCGCTTCAAAGTGTTCACATC